ATAACAGTTGCTGTAGTACCAATAACAATGGGAATGACATTAGTTGAAGGTGTTGTAGTGATGTATACTGTACTAGTGATAGTAACTGCAGTGCAGTCCATTGAAGTTTGAATGGTAATAAATCTGGTCATGAAAACTAAAAAACAGTACATACCATAGTAACCATACACCCCAATTAACACACACCCCTAATTATTGCACCTCTACATGGCTTCCACAATAAAACTTTTTATTAAGTGCACCTCCTGGTCATTTGGTCAAGATAACTAGAAGAATGTAAAACATTTAAGGGGCTCAGCCCCTGAGCAATGCTACTGTTGTGCTGTATGACCTTCCTTGCTGCTAGAAAAGTTTTTGAATAGCAGTTTAGTTTTATCTTGCTGACTGTTTGCCACAAATGAGCCATTTTATTTCATTGTGACCACATCCACTTTCAATGAAGATTTAGTTAGATGACCCTACTGTCTGTACATACAGAGACTCCCTAATGAATTATTTTTGAGAGGTGCATTGTAGTTAGAAATTCCTATTGTTTACAGGTGTTTTTGGATACTAGAGGTGGGCGATACGATACCAAAGTACTCATATATCTGATACCAGGCCTCCAATACTAAGTACTTGATACCAAATCCTGGTATCGAGTAATAAGTAACCACGCCCCACCACACCTACTTTGATGTCATAATAGTGGCCACGCCTTTAGTAATTACAAAAATGGCGGCTTTTTCTTTTAATTTTTATTAATAACTAATTATAACTTATTTGTGCATGCGCAGTGTCTGACTACTCATTCACTACTCGATACCATCGATACTGATACTCAGACTACTTGGTATCAGTATCGATTCAAAATTTCTGGTATAGCCCACCTCTACTTTGCTATGCACCTTTCTAAATAAGCACCTCCTGGAGCATTTCATAATTAATCCTTCCTATCTAAACAATATGTACCACCTGAGAAACATGTAATTATTATCAAGAGGTGTGTTAACAGGGGCTAGTATGGTAGATCTAGAGAGGGTAAAAAGTAACTTGATACCTGATGATGGTACTAGAATTGTCATAATAGTTGATTGTGTGGAAGAAATAGGCAATGAGTGACAATGAGCAACAGCTAGAAAGGAAAATTACAAATACTATTAATTACAATAATAATTACTTTTATCATTTGTGATGTTAGCATAATCTGTGGTATCTGAACCAAACTTGCTTGATACATAAATAGCTACAGACCACGTTGAATCATGAATCAATGATCCAATGGTAACACTGATTGGTATTAACATATTAGGTAGAACATTATCATCAAGTATACTGATATTAAGTTGTGATGAATTGAGTTCTGTCTGACAGTAGTCTCTTTGTAGTAAAGTATATGTGTAGTTGTTTAATAGATCAATATCACATGGAGTTGTAACCTATTCAATGATAATAATAACAACAAATAATTATTAATAATTAATTGCAGCTGTACTTACATTGAATTCAATGGTATGATTATCGTCAATAACAATCAATTCATCAGATAATTCAGGACCTATAAAATATAATAACCAATAATATAGTAATATTCCACTGTACCTGAAATAATAGTGAAAGTTTCATTTGCCATTGTTACATTAGTAAATCCATAGCTTACATTAGCAGCTGCTCTTACTCCCCATTGATATGAAGTACATTGAGTATACTGCACAATGTCCCTTGGTGATATTATTACATATGTATTGTTAGTGATGTTTATATCAGTTACTGTCAGTGAATTATTAGTTGACTCCATTATTATTATATTATATGCGAATAATGGTATGGGTGCTTCTAGAGGAGGTAACCATGACAACTTAACAGCCTCATTCTCTCTTAACTCGTGGGATAATGAAGAAGGAGGACCTGAAAGAGAGACAATAATATTGACAGTAATTGAAATAATAATGTATATACCAAAAGCAATCGCTTGAGCTGATTCTGTTCCCACAAACTCCTGTACTGGGAAACAGCTTGCTGAAAAATCACACAATCCACATTGAATTTCTAATGCATTCATAATGACTATGGTTATAACAGATTTCATATTATCAGCAGTGACACTAGTAATTCCATCTGGAAGAGGATTTGTCAATGCAGAAATAATATTACCACTGACATTCCAATAGACTAAAAAAGATCCACTAAAGCTGTACGAGCAGTTATATTCAAGTGTTGTTCCAATGGGTACAGTAAAAGTACCATTAGGACATACTCCAGTTAGTGATACACCTGATCTAGATACTGTTGAACAAGAATCCACTGAATAAAAGAGGAGACTGAAAAACAACAAGCGCAGCATCTTTGACATACTTTATATGAGGAGGAGTTTTAGTAGTATCTATGGTTATACTAGTTAGAGTAAACTATTAATAATCGGCCACCACCTATTTTCGGACGCATGTTTTACGAAAACTATACTTAGCCATCTCATGAAACTGCAGGATATTATAGTAATAGTTGTGCTTTATTTGCGTAAAAATAATTGTAGCTCTAGCAAGAGTGTATCAAAAGTTATCAGCTCTCAAAGCATAGTGTCCGAAATTACGAATCATCGGACAAATTAATCAATATTCGTACAGTTATTTTTACACGGCAGGAAACAATAGTTTTAGAAATTCACTATGACAGCTTTGTAGGCCTGTCCTTATTCCTTAAACTAACTTTCACCAGCCGGATCTTTTTGATAGCTGTCATTTTGACAGTGAAAATGACAACTT